TATAGGAACATCAGCATTAACCAAATCTTTCAGAAAAAAATATATTTGAAATACACTTCATTATAGTGGTAGCAGTATATGGAAAAACAAAGCAAAATACTTGAAAAATACTTTGACTTTTAAAAACTAAAAATGGCATTCAGGCTTAACAGCTTTGCAGTAATACTTCACACTCCTCTTATCTTGTTTGCTTCTAAAAACACATGCTAAATTTATGGGTAAAATTCAGCCTTTGAGCAGAATTAAGCAGGCAAGTTCACATCAAAGCTTTGTTTCATCATCTTCAGACTGATCTGTTGGAAAAGACAGCTGGTCCTTATTAAACACCCTCTAAATGTTGCAGTTTTAATTAAGTAACATCCATATTATACTAACATTTCCAAATAATTACCTAAAGAAAAGCCAGTATTATCTAATCATGACTGCTTAACATCCTTTCACCAGTGGACTATAAAGTACTAATGCGTTAAAGCAGAACTTTTTCTTAAACAAGCGTCTCAAGATTTTAAATTAACAAGTTCAACACAGCAGTTACTACACTTCTACTTAGGGGAAGTAACACAGGGAGTGAAGTTAAACATCTAAAGTAAGGAACACGTTCTAGAGACAAAATTCATCGAATCTGTGACAGTCTTAAGAAACTTCAACTGCACAAACCCTGTTAACAGCTGATGAATTGGCACTGTATTCAAATCTCCCAGTTTCATACAAACACATAAGGAACAACAACTTTGTTGTTAATATTGAGAGTTAGTTTCAATTACAAAAACAGGCAATGTTTTTGAGTAATTTTTTTCCCTAGTTTTTTGAATGCTCATCCTGAGAACACAGCATTAAACTGTACAGCCTCACAGTTCCTGAAGAAACATTCATCTGCTAATTTAACACGAACATATTTAGGCTATTCTGTGCTTTTTAAAATTCCCTTAAATAGGCAGATGGCCATCAATGCTTTTTGACACCAGAGTAAAAAAAGGGTCACATTCTCTGCTACATTACTTGATAAATGAAATTCAAAAAAACTCAACAACAAACCCTGGAAGGATCCTGAAGCCAAATTCTAAGCTAAACAAAAGTGATACAGATGCCTACCTGCATGGCTGACCATGCTTGCAAAGCCTGGCACTCAACATGCTGCTTTATATTTAATCAGAGAAATGCACTAAGCTTTAAGTGACACATCTCATCAATTCTGAAACGCTATTACATTGTTCTATATGCTGGGGAGAGAAACCTATTGATTCTAAAAATCCCAAAAATATGGCAGATACAGAACTGCTGGCATCTGGTCTGCAGAGCTTTCAACCGACTCTGGAACTGTCCACAGATTAAAGAACTCCCTTATGGCAAACATTAACACCTTCCACCATGCACCATCTAAGGTCTGTGTTCTGCTTAATACCTCTTAAAATTTTTAAGTATTCTGCAAAAGAAAATCTGATTTTTTTTAACTGTTGGAATATAAGAAATAAAAGGGAGGAATTTAAACTTTGGTAAATTATTTCTTACCGTGTTACAGGGTATTCTTCCTCCTAAATAAAGTTGCCAAAACATGCATTTAACTGGGAAAAGTACTTCAGTAAGACCTAGCTCTGGGCTTAGCAAATACCAGCTGTAGAGGAACACGAGTCTGCTTTGGGATGCTTGAGGAGATAAATGTAGGGACACAGCAGCATGAGCCTAAAGAATAATGAGCCAGACAGAGCTCCTGAGGGTGGAACAGTAGGAAATGGGGCTCTACAGAGGCTCTGCCATGAAAGAGAAAAGGAAGTGGAAAGCTCCTTAAATAAAGAGCACAGAAGGTGACACAGGGAGAGTTTCGGGGAGAATGCACGGGAACAGGGACCCCCAGTATGTCTGAGCAGCTGTGCTTAAAAAGGCAAATGAAGGTACAACTCCCTTCTAACGAGGGGGGAAGGTTTCCTAAAATGCTGTATTATTTATTCTTTCCCATCATACAGTCTCATTAAATTTAAGCTTTATACTGAACACGGTTCAGTGCCAGGAACTTCAGAGGAATTAAACATATGAAAAAAATTACTCATGTGTGTAGTCCCATTAGAATCTACAAAACAACTTGAGAGTAAAGTTGCTCATGTGTTTAACGCTGAATAAATGAATCTGAAATATATTCAAATCATCCTCAGATCCCACGTCTGTCTTCCCTGTGCACCTCATGGCTTGTTTATAGGATGAGAAAAATTCAGAGACTGCTTTTCCAGAATAGCTCCCCATGTGGACATACTTACTCTAGATTAAAAGAGGCCCTTCCCTGATTTATTTTTTCTGGATAAAGGTATGCATATGATGTCCTAAGATCATCCATATGGAAAGCTACTTTGCAACACTATTCTGCTTTAAGTAAACGTTCTACCTTAGTCTGAAATAACCTTAAGTGTTGGAATACATCAAAATTGCTGTTAAACATCAATGAAAGAAATCCTAGACTTACCAAAGCCAATGCAAATTCTAAGATCCTGGACCCACTGAAATCTGATAACTGTTGGTAATGGTGATGTTAAGTTACTTGTCCAGGTATTAATTGCTTTCCTGCTGCAGACACACATTGAGCTTCCAATGCCGGTGTATTACTAGAGAAGGTCATTAATACAGGCATGTATTTTACAATAGAAGTTGTAAAAGAAAAAAAAATCTAAAAGTTTAGTCTTTGAAAACGTTATCTATTAGGACCAATTTCAGGAGCTGTGAATAAAACGAACAAATATTTCCTCATCACATTCTTTTAACTGTAGTCCAGTAATATGCTCTCATCCAGTCAGTCTTTTACTGCCACAAAATATTGAGGATACTTAAAACTGTATTTTGAAGAGTAAAAGGAAGATGAGCATTAATTGTATAAATGCAGCAAAACGGAATGTAGATTTTCAAAACCAACACATATTATAAAAAAGATTCATCAGGGGGAAGTGCATCACACATTTAAAATTAACAGAGGAGAATATCCGATGTGTGTGTATCTAAATGCACATACAACCACTCAGCTACCTACATTTTATTTCTCCTTAAACAACGATTAAAAGTTAAATTATATTTTTTTAGATTGTTTATGCCATTGAGAATTACCTCAATTCAACCACTTCATTTATTCTTGCCCTTAGCATACATTAATTAGACGCTACTTATAAATAACCTGCAATAAGAATATCTATTTGAATAGGATACAATTACTTAGGGCTTGTGTCTTTTCAATCAGTCAGTGTCCCTGCAGTGTTTAGAGTGGCAGAGGGGAAGTGGCCTGTGGTTAAACAGAGGAAATACCAAGGAATTTTAATAGAGCAAATAGTCTCTTTACTTCCTACAGGGTACTACTTCAAAGGCAACCCTGCTCCAGAGCAGACAATGTGTTAGAGGGGCCATCAGTCATTTAATAGTACGTCAAGTCTACTCAAAACTTACATGCAGCCCAAGATAAATACCACATAACTGAGACAATGGGTACCATCCTGCAATCATTACTCTAATAAACGCTGCCCTGCCTGGGTTATGGAGGCAATCACTCGCAAGAGCAGTGTTACAAAATCGGACTACGAAATTACAGCTACACAATCACACAAGGTATCGCACTAATTGGCTAGGAAAGCCTGAACTTGAAGCTGAAAATACCATAAAACCAGAAACTAGTACAAATATTTTATAAGCTAAGATGGTACATTTGTTGTGAGCAATAAAGACAAAGAAGGGGGTTATGCTAATTGGAAAGAGTTAAGTTTTACTCATCTAAAAGCCAGTCAAAATCACTATATTAAAATAACTATATTGTGGCACATTCCTGTTTAATACACAAAATTACATCAATTATGTAAGCAAAAATAAATCCAGAATACACTGCATCTGCACATTTCTATAAACGTCAAAATACACTAATCAAGTGTTATGACTTTTAATAGTGATAATTTACTTAATAACTGATGCAAAACTCTACACAAATATAGAGTGGTTGTTATGAGCCTGTGTAGCATCCTGCCCACGTCTGATGGAACATACAATAGACATACTGAGCCAAAACATTTTATTCCCAATTCTCAGTTAAAGAGGCCTAATAGGGGAGTCTAAACCTTTAACAGTTCCATCCAACATAAAGATTTAGGTCTTAAGCTTTATCAGGGTCTGAACTCTGTTTTTCCACGCCGTTCTTTTACACATTTCCCGGTGCTTTCTCCTTTCTAAACTATGCCCTACAAACTTCTGAACTGTGTGTTGCAGCAACGCTCTCAAAGGACCTGATCTGAAACCAAGAAAATCCTTAGTGACAGTCTAACAATAAGGAAAAGCAATGAAAGTCAGTTGTGTTCCCTCCAATGTTCCCGGATCACCACGCTTCAACTAAACCTGTAATATCAGGAGAAAGAAAGGAAACAAACCAAAACACTCAACTCAAAAGTTATTAAAAGATACTTAAGGGGAAAAAAAGCAATCGAGAAAAGTCTGACAGCAAAACACACCAGAAACAGGAACAAAAGGCAAAGCCCAGTAACAAAACGTTTATCACCTTCCTCCCCCTTCCCCCTCCCGTAAATTTCCTACATCCTCTGTATAATGATCAGGCCCGGAGCTAAGACCCCAAGCCGGCCTCGAATCATTAAAATAACAAAGCCCCAGCGATCGCTTTTATCCTCCTCGCCGCGCAGGTCGGCTCGGGGAAAGGGAGCGCGCTGGTGGTAAAGGACCTGTTGAGTGACTTCTTCACACTCGCCGGCTCCGAGCTGCCTCCCTCCCCCAGGCGACAAACCAATAAATATCCCTTCCCGGGCAATGCCACCCTCTCTCCCGGCCGCAATTAACTCCCAGATGCGGAGCCCCGGGGCAGCGTTATTAGTTGCAGAGGTGTCCCCTCACAGCCCGCTCGCTCCCTCCCTCCCCCGGCGCAGCGCGGCTCTCCCGGCCCGGGACAGCGCCCGAGCCGCGGAACCTCCGCTTCTCCCCGCAGTTTGCAGAACCCCTTCCCCGCACCGGCAGCAGCTCCGCTTCGCTCTACTCACCCTCCCTCCGCACGCATCGGCCGCCGGGCCCCTCCTGCCGCTCGCTGCTCCGGTGGCCGCGGCGAGCCGGGGAGCCCCGAGCCAGGCGGCGAGGGCGAGGAGGACGGAGCCGAGGGGCAACCCCGGTGCCATGGTCCCAGCGAGCCCGGCGGGGCGGGGGCGGCGGCGCTGCCCCGTGTCCGTGTGTCCGTGCCGTGTCCGTGCGTGTGTCTGTGCCTGAGTGTCTGTGCATGCGCGCCCGGCCGGGGGCGGGGGGTCCGCCCGAGCCCCGGCCCCGCCGCCCCCGCCCCGCTCCAGCCTCGGCAAACGGCAACAATGGGAGGGAGCGGGACCCCCTCCGGCCGCTTTCCCCGCCTGTGCACTTTTCTCTTCCCCTCCCTTTCCTTCTCTTCCCGGGGAGCCCTCGGGACGCGGGGGCTCCCCGGGACAGCGGCGCGCTGCAGCCCCCCTCCTGCACACAGCGGGGTCCGGCCAGTACCTGCCCGGCTCCCCATCCTCGTTCCGCGGTGCGGAACCGCATTGCTGATCCATTTGCTACACCGCAAGGAAGAGAGGTGCCGCTTAGTGATACAAACCCACAGGGGAACAGTCCAGGTGCTTCACAACGTCAGGGCAACAAGCCAAAGACCAATCACAGATCTTCAACAATATTTCATGCTTTACAGAATCACAGAATCAATCAGATTGGAAAACACTTCTGACATTATTAAGTGTAACCTATGACCCAACACCACCATGTCAACTTCTGTGAAGAAATTCCTCCTAATGTCCAACCTAAACCTCGCCTGGCACAGTTTAAGGTTATATTCTCTCCCCCTGTCACTTATTACCTGTCAGAAGAGGCCGCCCCCCACCTGGCTACAACCTCTTTTCAGGTAGTTGTAGAGAGGGATAAGGTCACAGCTAAGCCCCCTCTTCTCCAGACTAAACAACCCCAGCTCCTTCAGCCACTCTTTAATTACTCTTTAATTCAGGAAGACAAGCTGGAGAAATAATATACTATCATTGCAGAAAATGCAATGGAAGTCACACGTAGCGATAAAGATTTCAGCTTTTTAACTGGAGTTAATTTTGATATGTTCTGACCAAAACACTTATCTTTAAAATAAAATAAATCACACTTCTAATAAATTTCAAATGCAAGCTCCTCCAAGATATCCATGAATCACATCAATTATAACCGCCCTGCCTGAAATTCTCAAAGTCACGTAAGAGGCAGAGCAGTCCAAGGCTCCTCCAAAGCACAGACCCACAGGATGTTCAGCTTGGAAGGGACCTCAGGAGGTCACAAGGCCTAACTGTCTGCTCAAAGTAGCCCTAACTTCAGTTTTAGATAAGGTAGCCCAGGGCCTCATCATACATCACTTCTTACACATCACTTAACTCCAATTATTTTCTAAAACTTTGATTTTAGTACATTCTGTTGCTATGATTAATCCTGTGATTAAAGCCATAACCTTAATGGAACAGACACACCCATCAGTATTATACAAGACATTACAGTTTGGATTAAAATAGTGTGTAAAACCACCACTAAGCCAATCAGTTGAAAGGAAACATGACCAGCTGGTAATTTTTAACTAGCACTGGTTTTACACCTATCACAGGATTTTCATTCTTTGTGGCTATTGGTGAAAATTATACAACAAAACTCTCTTAAACTGCTTGGTTAAGTTGATGGATCACAGTTCTTTCAACCACAGTTACCTTTGAAAACAGGTTATAGCCCTTCATTGTGACATGAACAGAAAGTACATTTCTACCATTAAACTTTTTTTTAGCACAAATTGGAGATTAGGCCATAGTTCTTATGGGCTCTGGGAACAAGTGATTCTTACTTTTGATCTCCATTTCCACTGCAGGCTGGAATTCTGAAAAAGGGACTATTAAGTCTATAGGTGGAATTTCACTGATTTTATGAGATGTTTTTGGTCAAGTATATCCCAGACCAGAATGGAAAGTTTAGCACATGTTTTCTGACTGTACACCATACACTTCTACCTGGGTATTCTTGCTTTACTTCCTCCTTGCATTACTCAGAAGTGACCCAGTAGGCTTGAAAACTACATAAGCTTTTTTTTTTTAATCAAGTCAGATGGTGTAAAACCTATAAATAACAAGCCCTTTTATGTTTGAATGCACTACAAAGGACATAAAAAAATACAATGTCATGGCTACAGGAAGAAAGATATAGGTACAGCTTATTTTCCGGTCAATAATACCTCTGCTGCCCATAACCATCTATGACAAGCAATGATTCTCTGTTGAACACATCTCCATTGATCTGCAAACAAATCTTCTAAACCATGGGGAGAACTATTTGGCTTTTTCTCTTAAAGAGCTAAACTGCTGGAGAAGCTGTAATTTTTAAGTGAGGGCTAAGGAAAATTAGCATTATCTGTGCTATTGATGTATTAGCCTATGAGGACTGTAACATTAACAAAGACAGAATGAATAGTGACTTTGCCTCGGTAGCAGAATAACTGAAGAACTCTCAGCTGCCACTGGTTCTACCAGCAGTACCCAGAAAGCAGCAAAATGATCAGTTGTATTTACTAAGACCTCAAACTTAGTAGCACAAAGCAAAGATGACTCTGAAAAAAATCATTGAGCCCCCTTCCCAATAGTTCAGCTTGTGCTAATAACAAAATTACACATCTTAAAAAAAAATTCCTCTACACCACCACGTCCAACTTAGTCCTGTGAAGGAACTGACTGAATACAGAAGTATTGCATTGCTTCATATGCATTTAGAATAATTTCCAGTGAAATCTTTTGTGGAAAACAGTAGCGGAGAGGCAGGAATCAAACGACCAGAGTTAATGTTTTTAGCTAGATTCTCCAAACTGCTGTGAGCTAATGTAAGGGCAAAAGTGGCTGTGGGGACTCTGCTTGTCTGTGGGCTCTTTTGTCCTTTTCACAACAGTCTCTTTTTTCCAAGTAGTAGAGAATGCATAATATCCAGAAGTCATGGGTATCAATATCCTGCATTCTACAGCTGGTTTTGGTTGCTACTCTCCCTTCTTGCTTAAAGCTAAAAACCTTTTTTTTCCCTTCCCTTTTCTGAGCAGCTGTTCCGAAATGGAGGAGAAAGTGAGAACTCAGCAATTCCTATAAAAACCCAAAAACTCATGTAATAAAAACTTCTGATAATATGGTTAAAAATTCACTGCCAGATCTTTCTATCGCTTAGCAAAAATTCCCTCTTAGACTTGGAAGTTGTGTCTCCATCCACAGTTCATATTTCTAGCACTGAACTCTCTGCAAGGGAGATTGACCTTGACTGCGAAAGAAATTATGAAAACAGCTCACTTTTGGGCCAGAAAGGCTTGGAGGATATTCAGCTAAGTCAGACAGTCAGCTATTGCAATATCCCACTCCTGTTACAGACAGACATCGCCCGCTGTTGGGAAATGAGGATGAGCTATGGGGAGCCAAGCAAACAGTGTGCTAAAAGAGATCCCAGAAGAGAAACCCTCAATGGGAGGGTCTTCTGGAACTTCATCTGACAGATACTGGAAGGCAGAAAACCAGATCTTTTGAAAGCACCCAGTTATTCAAAGTTGTCTCACTTCAGTGGAGGTGGTTTATCTACAAGATGAGCATCCAGCATAAGATAGAGCAAGAAAGCTTCCGGTGTCAAACCTTAAGAACGGAAGTAGAAAGTGTGGAATGGATGTGGACACTTTGAGCAAGGGCAGGAACATTCCCACTGGTATCAGGGGTCACAAAATTCTGTTCTGATGGAATCCCCTGTATTATAACATGCCATAGTTTCAAATGATCTGGCTAGGCTCAAGTGAAAGGTTACCAGCTGATAAGACAGCAATCCCAGGCCATAAAACTGAATTGAAATTTGCATCAACTCTATCAATTGTTATAAATAATTATCTTGTTCAAGGCAACCATTAAATCACTAGGCCTTGAGAAATGTGGCAAAAATTCACGAAACAGAAAGTTCTGAGAGCAAAATCTGTATTACCAGTCCCATTTTATAGATAAGGAAACTTAAGCACTGAGTCACAAAGATGGCTGCTTTTATGTCTTGCACATATGCTCAGGGCTAAACCAATAATTAGATTTGGAGTCAGGAAAGACTCTGCCCCTTAGTAAGACAGGAGGAGACCCCTACGTGTAGCATTCTTTGGATTTAATTTGCTGCTTTCTGTAGACACACACTCTACTTCCTAAGGTCATGCAGGCAGTACCAGTGGGTGCCAGCCTCCAGAACAATTCCACCCCACTGGCTGCTCCTCCCTGGTGAAAGGCAAAGAGCACACAGCAAGCTGTCCTGGCAGCCCACTGCCCCCTGTGGTGTCCACACATTTATTGGCACTTCTGCTGCTGTGTCCAGATGGGACTTGAAAGTGAAATTAGATGCATGAATTCTGCTTTGACACTGGCAGCCACCACTTCTATACCCAGATGCTTTGCCACAAGTCCTTAAACTGAGTATCCAGTCCTTAATCCTGACTAAGACAGACCTTGCAGAAACCCTTCTACTGTACTGGCAGTAATGTTTCTCTCCTGCTCACTTCTTTTTGTCACACTGTCATGTTTGAGCTTTCTTTCTTAAAAATCTCAAGTCTGTCTTCAGGTATTTGGATATGTTTTGAGGCTTGTAGAGTTCAGAGAGTAGAGAGTGAGTGGTCTTGTGACCTTTCTGGATGACTTAATCTCTTCTACAGGAAATTGCACTTAATGACCAAAGAAGTTTCAGTCCTATATTCCTAAAGGCTCAAGTTAGCATCAGATGTAGGAGTAAGTTAAGGCAAAAAGGAAATGACTGAAATAGGCCAAACAGTCATTATATGAAAATTACCTCTGATCACCATCAAATTAACAATTTATCAGTGATGCATGGATGCAAATGTTCATATAATATTACCACTCCCCAGACCACACAGTTCCCTATATTGTATACAGGCCTTCTACTGGCAGAGAATTTTTGCAGTCAAATGTCAAGTTTCTGTGTTTCTGTTTAGTTTTGCATCTGTTCATTCATATGAATATAATAAAGGAACAGAAAGTTCTCTGAGATTATTCAACTCACTGCTGTGCCACCAAACCCACTCCTCCCTGCTCCAAAAGCACATTGGATTGACTCACCCTGTGGCCACAAGTCGCCTCTGAGA